ATTGCCCCTGCCGGTGCTCTTCCCAGCCTTGGATCCTTTTTAGAGCCTCCAAGACCTTCCCGGTGCACCGGCTGTCCCAAGTCCTTTGTTAACAGAGATTGGTGAACAGCCGGACAGGATCTTGGCTCCACCCCCTACGTTCTTATTTGCCTTAATAACATGTCCGCCCCCCCCCTGCTGTGGATTCAGCGCCGTCCCGCCATAAGACGATGACCACCACGCTGGTAGAGGAGGCTTGTGTCCGGGCGGTAAGTGGTTGGAAGCCCTCTCTGGAGGTCCGCTCTCGCTGGTGGGACCTGCTCTTCATCTTGGCTTTGTGGAACCGTGGCTGACTGGTGGTGGCCCCATGAAATGGATCTCGCCGTTGCGGCGGGTCATCCCTCGGTCATAGAACCTTTGGAACAAATGGCTGTGGTTCTAGCCGGAGGGGTTGTCCTGGTCTGGCCTACGGGCTTTTTGTTTCCAATCCTCCTGTAGGCGGATGTATAACCCGAAGGTAAATAACTTCCTGTGTCCCTCAATGGACTCCGAAAAAAGGTTTTTTTACGCCGAGTAGGATTCTTTTTCAAGCGTTAAAACAGGGATCGCCAAACTGCGGCCCCTCCAGCTGTGGGTGGAACTACAAATCTCATGAGGCATTGCAAGAATTCTCGCAGCCGCGACTCCCGGAGAGAGATGCATTATGGGATTTGTAGTTTCATCCACAGCTGGAGGGCCCTGAGGTTCCCCCCACCCCTGCTTTAAAACCTCGTATTTGGTTGGTCACCACTGCCAGTTGTGCTTTTACCTTTTAGTCTCATCTCTGAGGGTCATTCATTGTTGTTTTTTCTTGCCGTTCTAGGTCTGCTTCTTTGAACTGTTCAAGGAGGAACGCAAAGATCATTTCACTTCAGAGCTACACAAGGAGGCGGTGGTAAGTCCCCCGTCACTCAGTCAGAGGCAACCATGATCATCCTTCAGAACAGGCTTTGAGTGATTGTATCGGGTACCTATGACACCTGTGTGTATGTATGCGATATATATACCACTTTTTTAAGACCGAGTACCGATACTTTTGATCAAGTACTCGCAGATACCAATTACCGATACTTTTTCTTAAAGGGTCGGGTCACATTTTTTTTCTAAAACAATACAAACTAATGCTTTAAGGTCACTTTCTTAATATTATGATTCATGAGATGACGAGGGAGCACGACGCCGGCTTCCCGGCCAATCAGAATGCCGGGCGCTGCGTCATGACACGGCGCCTGGATTTGCTAGCTTCCTGACCAATCGGGAAGCCGGGCGGCGCGTCATTGCGCGCTACCCGGCTCCCTGATTGGCCGGGAAGTCGCCTCCATGCTCTCTCATCACAAGTGACGAGAGAGCATGGAGGCGTTTCCTTACCGTGCAGCGTGTAATGATGCGCTGCCCGGCTTCCTGATACAGGAAGTACTCGTGCTAGGTATCGGAGCATTTCGGCAAGTACGAGTACTCACCCAAATACTCGGTATCGGCAAGATACTAGTATCGGTATCGGTGCATCCCTAATATATATATACATATACAGTGGCGTAGCAATCACCATAGTGACCCAGGCGGCCGATATGGGGCACAGGGGGGCCCGGCCAGATCCTGTGCGGGCCGCCTGGGTCGCTATGGGATCCTCTGCCGGTGGCTTTCACTGGCGGCTGAAGACAAACATGCCGCTGTTCAGATCACTGACCGTAATCTGTGCAGCGGCGCGTTCCTCTCCACAGAGTCAATGAGAGCCAGCAGCGGCGGTGGAGGAGGCTGGACCCGCAAGTGGAGGAGGAGGCGGGGCCCCCGTTGTAGTCTATGGTGGGCTCTGCAGGGTCACTCTCAGGTGGGATCTCGAGTGGGCTCTGCAAGGGGCATAACTAGCAGTCACAGGGCCCCCTACAAAATTTTGCTATGGGGCCCTGTGATTTCTAGTTACGCCCCTGTGTGTGTGTATATGTATATATATGTGTGTGTATGTGTATGTGTATATATATATATATTAGTTTTGGCTGAGTAAAAGCACAGTAAAACGTGTTTATGTACCTCCGCTTTACTTAGTCGGGGTATGGCTCAGTTTGTCACCACACGAGATATATATTTTTAGTAGGACGGCATTAGTGGGGGATTTTGAGATGTTGGGAAAGAATACATAGTTCCACATACCTTTGTGTCTGAGGTAATCTTGCTTTTCTGTGTCTCGGTTTTCTAGGAATTTAAGAAACAGTGTCTGTGGGAGGGAAGACATTCCTCCACGCTGCAGGAGGCAATAGAGAAAACTGACAAAGCAAGAACTGAGTGGGAAGATAACAATAAAGACAAAGTCCGAGAAAAGAAATATGCCAAGAAAGCACCCAGTGAGGGATCGCCTGAAAAGGGAGCACATGATGGGGGAGCACCTGACAAGGAAGCACAGGACATGGAGTCGCCCAATGAGGAAGCGCCCGCCGAGGAGTCATCCAACAAGGAAGCACCTGACATAGAGTCATCTGCTAAAGAGACCTCCACCAAGGTAGCATCCGACTTGGAGACCTCCACCAAGGTAGCATCCGACTTGGAGACCTCCACCAAGGGAGCATCCGACTTGGAGACCTCCACCAAGGAAGCATCCGACTTGGAGACCTCCACCAAGGAAGCATCCGACTTGGATACCTCCACCAAGGGAGCATCCGACTTGGATACCTCCACCAAGGGAGCATCCGACTTGGATACCTCCACCAAGGGAGAAGCCGACTTGGAGACCTCCACCAAGGGCGAAGCCGACTTGGAGACCTCCACCAAGGGCGAAGCCGACTTGGAGACCTCCACCAAGGGCGAAGCCGACTTGGAGACCTCCACCAAGGGCGAAGCCGACTTGGAGACCTCCACCGAGGAAGTAGTTGACTTGGAGACATCCACCGAGGAAGTAGTTGACTTGGAGACATCCCCCAAGGGAGAAGCCGATTTGGAGACATCCACCGAGGAAGTAGTTGACTTGGGGACATCCCCCAAGGGAGAATCCGACTTGGAGACCTCCACCAAAGAAGGTGCCAACATGGAGACGGATTCAGGAGCATCCGATGTGGAGACATCCAACAAGCAAGCAAGTGAAATGGAAACGCCCAAAGTGGAAACAGATGGGGGCGCACCCGACATGGAAACAGATGGGGGCGCACCCGACATGAAGTTGTCCAACAAGGAAGCATCCAACATGGAAACAACTGAAAAGGAATCGTCCAACAAAGAAATTCCTGTAAAGAAATCGCTTAATTTGGAAAAGTTCTACCAACAAATTTCATTC